ATTGAGGATAAAGGGTCTGGGATCTACTAAATATGGAGGCATCTGGTGGTTGAGTGTAGATATAGAGAAAAGCTGAACAAAATGCTCAGAATGGATAGTTTGGACTGGCTGATGAAGGGAAAGTACAGTGTTGGTGAGTCGGAAAAAAGTGGAAGAGGGAATGCCTAAAGAAGACATCTAGAATTATGTTTCTGAAAGCAGACACTCAAAACTCAGAAAATTAGCTAGTTAAATCTAAAAAAAACCCAAACTGATTTGTATACACAAATGCCCAACTCAGCACCCAAACATTCTTAACTTTGCATAAGGCAGAGGAATCAAAGCATTCTGCACAAAGGCACTAGTCGTCAAAGGGCTTCTCATATCAAGAGCACTGCTGCTTACTGCTGGGAAGTTAAAACAGAAGCTCAGAGGGAGCCCTTAAAGCACAGAAACTGCATTCCTTCCTACCACAAAGCCGCTTCCCCAATCCTTTGCATAACCTTGGTCTCCCCAGCACCTCCTCCCACCCTTCTTTCTCCTCCACCACCTCCTGCTAAACCTTATCTGCTCTACCACATCCTCATTCTCCTCCTGTCCATAGACTGCTCTGCTCATTCTCACGTACTGCTTTGGCTCCCCAATAGTAAAAAGTAACACTGTGGGGAACTAAAGCCATGAAGAAGGAGGATGTGGCTGTATGAGTGGAGAGAATGGAAAGAAACACAGAATATAGAGAAAGTTGCCCTGAGAAACCTGATCTAATTGGGCTGCTTTGAGTAGGGGGTTGGATGATGTGACCTCCAAAGGTCCCTTCCAACCTAGGTTGCTCTGTGATCCTGCATCTCATGAGAGGCGTTGGGCTAAGGCAGACACAGATGAGTTATAAGTGAGAAAACGAGAAAGAATATCTGCAGCCTAGTGATGCTTTCATGTTCTTTGGAAGAAGTTCACATTCCCCAGCTCTTGGAATAGGACTCTGATAATTTCGGTTATATGCAGACCTCCTTAATACCACAGGCTCAACTAAGCCAACTGAATTGCAACATGCAAATTTGTTAAAGAGGAAAGGTGAAGCTTGGTGAAGTTTTAGGTACTGTTACAGTTGGTTTAAAGAGCAAAGCTCTTTGTCTACTTGCCTGTAGTATATCAGTAGGTTCATTACAGTCGCTTTTTTATTACAAGTGTACATTTTCAGTGTTTTAGGTATGTGGGTATGCGAAATTACGTAAATCTGATTTGAGTGTTGCTTAGAACAAGGAAATGTAGTGAGATAGCAAGTTCCACAAAAAATAAATTAGAAATAAATGCAAATTTTGGAATTGGTACCCACAGTCTGTGCCATCATAGTCTTTTCTATCAGCAATCCATACATTTTAAATACACAAGAGTGGGATTTCCATTGAGAAAATACTCTTCTGGACATTCTCAAAGAAAAAATGCTTATTTTATTGTCACCAGTAATAAAGTCTCTGCTATGAATTTACAATGTGCAGTTAGAGTACAAGCAAAATTTAGAGAAATGGTATAAATAGACTGAATTGAACTGTCATGTGATATATGTACTAGTTATGAAGTTGGCACTATAGTTTGAACTAAGCTCAATGATTATGAAGTGAATTGTTTTGTGCAGAGATGAGGGAGAAAAAAAATAAAAAGAAATGGAAGAAAGATGAAGAAATCAAGTGATACAAAGAGAAAAAAATTACTGAGGTAGGTTTACTGAGGAAAAGAAACCTGCAAAATACAGACTGTAAGCCCTGTTGTAATAATAAGTGAAGACAAATACAGATTATAAGACTGTCAGTGTATGGATTTTGAAATGGGGTTATAGAGATACAGTTTCATGAAGCAGGACACAAAAAACCCCCAGTAGATATATTAGGGATGTACATATGTATTTTTCAGGAAGTTTGAAGAATTTGATAAATGTAGGCTGTGAGATAAAAACAAATAATAGCACCTTTTCGCTGCATTTCTCTCTGATGTAGGTGTGTAATTGCTCAGATCTAGAAATGTCTAAAACTCTCTTTGACTGAGTAGAATTAAAAAATATATGCTATCACTGTAAATTATTACAAGCAGATTATCCTTCAGTATAGTAAGTGCCATTTTTCTCCCACCTACGCCTCTGATGTGTCGCTGGAAGGACTCTAAAATATTTTACAATCAGCATTTTGGATTTAGGTCAGCAATAGTTCTCTGATGAATCTCTCCACAAAAATTGATTAGGAACCACTCAGCAGCTAATAAAGGTGGTTTTTAAAGCAGGCTACAAAGGTCATATATAAGTTGAATGTCCAGCTGTAGTATGAATACTTTCTTTGAAAGAGGATTGATGATCTCCAACAGCAGTGGGCTGCAAAATGTTCCAATGAACTTACGCTAATCATGGGTGATCTCTCCAGATAATGAATGACCTGACTGACCTTTTTCCAGCGTGTCTGCCAGTCTGGTACGGCACCACCTTCAGAGAAAATGGAATGCTTGCTCCTCTGGAATTTTGCAGAACCTGTGATTTTGTCACATTAATTACAGTATTTTGTCTAAAACAGCCAAAGAACTTCTGCTTGCATGTGCAACTGAATGGTGATAATTAAGCTTGATTAGACAGCCTATCATCCGGAACAGTTGGACTGTATGGGATACAAACAGTACTTTGGCAGAAATGCATCATCATTTGGTCTCCTTCACAGCTGCAACACATGATTATTCACTCTTTGTGCCACAGATGAAAAATCTAACCAGAAACAGATGGGGAGTAAATATTTTTAGAAACAGTATTTCAGAGCATTAACAAGAGGAAGAGAAAAAGTTTCCAACTTTGGAAATAACAAAAATTTTAAACCTGCTTGTTAAAGTATATTAATAGTATTTTTAAAAAGTTTTAATTATAAATAATACTGCCCCCCGAAATATTTTTCTCAGATTCTTCCATTTACACATTACTTGTGGCCAAAAGCAGTATGAAATGCAAATTCTTTAATTCAAGTCCAAGTAGATGCTCTAAATTAACATTTTATATTAATACACAGTGCTCAAATAGCTCATTTAAAAGTTCTTGTTGTTTCTGTCTGAATGCTTTTTTTAATTTTGTATTATTTATCCAGCATCTAATTGGTTTTTATGCAAGACTTACTAAGAAAACGGAAAAGTAGTTGTCATTGATCTTAGAAAGCTTTTGATAAGCTTGAAATTGCTTTTGTGATGTCCTAAGCATCTCCACAATTAACTCACTATTTGACTCTTTCCAGTTATCATAGTTTTCCTGCAAGAGGAAATGATCCTTCTCCTCCAAATTATAGCGTCAGAGAAGGATCAGTTCTGCTTTTCAAGCTATGTTTGTGATAAAGATATTTTTATGAAGAGAGGAATTATTACTCTAGTTTTCTTGAATATCTGCAAGTCTGATGAGTGCAAATGTCTTTTATTTCTTTCTAATTCCAAGTCAGTGGTGGAGAATCATCAATACCAAGCAGAAAAGTCCTGAGTTTCTAGTTCAGCATTGAAGAAACCCATATTATGTCAGTGCTGAGTGTTGTTCTAGTCTTCTGAGAGCTGCCTTCAGTGTCTTCAGCTTCCATCCTAAAATTGCAATACGGATGCAGATGTGGTTTATAGGAGGTAAATTTTTCCAGTGGAATTTTAGAAACAAAATATCTTCTTAATTTGTTTCATAGATTTGACTTATCTTAACCCTAGATGAATGAAAAATATTTGACTAGGAGAGTATACATGATCCTCCAGTAATTAAAAGTTGAATTGCAAGATTTTTTATAAGTATGAAAGGTAATTTCTATTTGTCATTCTTGTCTTGGATAGAGAAAGTTCTGAAGCCCTTACTTGCTTTTAACTCTCAGTTAATTTTTTTGTTGACTGACATATTTATCATGTTCATGAACTGGGAAGTAGCACATTGTGATGTTTTTTAAGCAGGAACTTCTTCCTGTTTGGCTCCAAGGAGACACTGTAGCCCAATGCTGTCACCAGACTTTTCACTTCCACAGTGAGATTGTTAGTGTAGATAACACTGACTATGTTTAGATATAGTTTTGAGAACTCAGGTCTGTAAAAAGCTCATCACTGCCAATGATTTTTGGTTTCAGTGAGGAGCAAGCTCTGAAAAATTTCAAGTTAATTAGTTAGGTTACTTAGTTATGACTTCCAAATTGTCTTATTTGGCATGATGTACTGCATATCAATATTGTTAAACAAAACCCTTCTCTTCATTCTAGATCTGCCTCATTTCACCTCATATATTTTGGAAGAGTTGTGATGTTTTCCTGATTTCTGGGTGCTTGAAAACAATTGAGATATGTTAAATTATGTTAAAATTTAAAATGATAATTTTCTTAGCTTTGATTGACCTTGAATTTCATTTCTATGTTTAGATGTACTGGGTAAATTTACCATGGTATCTCAGGTATTGAGTTATCTTTTATTTTGCATTTTGACTGTAATCTATACAATGAAGTTGTTATTAATTACTATCAGTTGTTTTACTGTAGGGACTAAAATCCACAGTTAAAATCTTGAAACCCTTTTGTATTAAAATTCTGCAAAGACATGATTAAATGCAACTTAATTCTAAGAAAGTTTCATAAGCTAAAATCAAGATATCACTGTGGAGGAAAGCCAGAAGAAGCAACAGGAGCAGGAAAATAACCGAAACCACAGGAGAATATGGCTAATTCTTATGTTAGACCAGACGGAGCTATAAATGCTATTCTTGGTATACATGAATAGAAATGATTCAACTGGCAGGGTTTTGTTTGCACCGGAAAAAATAGTGACAAATATATAAATCTATATATCTATGTATATTTAAATTTACTTCAGTACTGTAGTCTCTTTCACAGTAATGTATCTCACGTATTATATTTTTTACTGAGTTTGGCAGCACTGACAGTGTTTCCAGGTAAATTAAAAAGTAGCAACAGATGGAAAAGGCCCTATAACCCTGCGTGCCTTTTATTCAGACATCACAGAGGACCTATACCTGCATAATTGAATGAGCAAGATTTGTTTGTGAAGTAATCATTTATTATGCAAATATCAGAACTTCATTATATCTAATTTTATTAAATATGTACATGTTATTACTATTTAAAAGAACGAGTATCATTCCAAGATCTGCAAACTTCTCTCTAGCCTTGAGAGCTGCGGCAGAGCCTGTATTAATGCTAGTTTGAAAGCTGAAAGCTACCGCGGTGTCACTGTGGGTGACACAGCACCAACTTTGGAGGCAAAACTTCATCGGCTGTATTTTTTAGTTACAATACAATCAAAAAAAAAAAAATCTTTCCTGACAATAATATATTTGTACATTGTTTAAATTTCCCAACTCTGTCCAACTTGGAGGACGGAAGCAAAGAATTCTGTCATGGTTAGGATTCTCAGATGCTGAAGAAGGGAATTCGTACCAGAAACATCTGATGGTAAAGGCTGTTTAAAGGCAGAGAAGGGGGCACAGGAAGCAAAGAGAAAGATGTGTCCATCTCCTCTGCTGGTATCCAGCCAGGAGGTCTTAATATTTTTCTTGCTTAGGGTCCCATGGCCTCAGTGAGGATAATGCTTCCTATCAGTGACCCCCCTTCCCATCACCTCTCCACTAAACTGGTAGGTCAACTTCTTCTTAACTTTCTTGACCTCCCCTGTCTTGCCATAGTTTCTCAAAGCCCGTGCCATCTTCTGGTAGGTCATTTTCTTGCGGTTGCCTTTCTGGATGCCCCAGCGATGTGCCAATGCTTCTTTGTGTTTGGAGGAGAACTGGAAAGTACCTTTTTCCTTGTCCACCCACCAGATGCTGTCCTTCATGTCCCCACTGCGAAGAAGGTCCAGAAGGAACTGATACAGACGTATCTTTTTCTTGCTGCCTGTGTGAGAGTCAAAGAAACCCAGTGGAGCATTATGATTTGTGTACAGTTCCTGGTGAAACAGCAGAAAGTATATAACTGTTTCAGCTAGCTTGTAACTTCTTCAGTTTGCAGCATTTATAACAATAAACAGTGTAACACTGTGAGGACATAGTGTGGATTGATGTACCAAGAAGAAAAAGCAAGAATAAGTAATTCCAAAGGCCAAACCCTTGTTCTGAAATTAATTTTCTAATTAGAAGCTAATTGAAAAACATTGCTATTTTGACACTGATCTAAATCTATTTTTGGTAGGTTATACAGAATGTGACTCTCAGGTACTGAGCAAAGAGAGCTAAATATTTTTTTAAATCAGTTCTTGCTTGATCTTCTTGCCTTGGTTTTCCCATCTCTTAATGGAATTTGGAGTAGAAATGGCAAAAGCCCTTTCCATTCAGGAAGCCTGAATAAGCAAAACAGAAGGAGGCAGTGGGAGTACATGAAGAAATGAGATATAAACACAGTTATGGCTGTAAAAGATTAGGAAGACAGAAGGGTGCAAGGACTCAGGGAAAGGAAACCTATGGCAGTGGGATAGAACACCAGCACAGCAGTTCTACAGTTTTATTAATTATCATCAAGGTAATATAACAGCTGCTTACCACGTGGCTTGACAAAGTCCCTCTGTTTTCACTGACCTGTTTCTCCATGCATAATTCCGGGCCCAGGGTCCACACCATCATTCTCCCCATCTGATACCTCCAATGGGGGACTCTGTCTCTCCATGTCCTCCTCATCAGAACTGGGCTGAGGTGGAGAGGAGTACTGTAGGCACATCCGGGGCAAATAGGACACCTTTTGGAGAACAGAGTAGCAGAGGGAGGAGACAGTGATAGAGAGTTGAGCATCAGAATTAAATGTAATGAGGAGAATTACAGAGAAAAGGGGGGAGAAAATAAGAGGTATATGAGTGTTTAGTGTAATAATGAGTGACTTAGTTGTTGACATTTATAATAACTACCATCCAATTAAGAAACACTTTCAGATAACAGTCAACACTTACACATGTACAACGAAGAACTTTTAAAAGAGGGAAGGAGGAATAAGGTTAATAAAGTCAGAACTTTCCCATATGTTATATCCTTGCAAGTAATATTGCCCCTCTTCCCCTACACGTCCCCACAGCTTGCATTCTACCTAATGCCTTTCTGATCCCTGTTGCTTATCCCTAGAGTAAAATTGCTTTTGAGAACAACTTTTTTCTAAAACAGTCCTTCTGGAGCTATTCTTTTAAATTTGAAAGAGCTGAACAGTTCTGCCTTAGTATGGCTGGCTTTAGCTCTGTTGTCCTCTTCCTTTCTCAGGCATAGCACCTTCTGACAGCACTGAATCCCTACAGGACTGCATCCAAATCTGGAGATGGGGTTACACAGGTCTGTCAGCTTTCTGTCTTGAATTTCCCCCATGAGGAGGGGAATAGCCTTAACACTAAGATAAAGGATATACCATCTTGGCTCACATTCTGTTTTCCTGAATGGCTATCTGAAAATTCCCTATTAATGGGGATTTCTAATCTGCAAATCTAGCAAGCAAGTTTTTTTGTGTTAAATTCTCTTGCCCTTATATAGAGGTGTTGTTAGGAGTAGTGTGGAATATACTTCAGCTCTGTAAATTCTCAGTTGCAGTCTGGTTTGCTAGGGATCACAACTAGTTGTCCCGAATTGTGGCAGCTTCTTATTTAATAATGAGAAACAGATCAGTCTGAGGGGCAGGGATTAAGAACCCAATTCCTTCATTACAAAAAACCAGCCAACATCCCCCAAACCCAGCAGCATATAGAATGTAGTTTTAATGAAATGGGACACATAATAGTCCTTGAAGGTGAGCTTCTTTTGAACTGTTTTTCTTTTCCTTCACCGAGAAAGGATATCTTGAACCTGGCACCCTTCCCCTGGGACTTCAGGCCTTGAAGTGGGGAGTGGGTGTTCATGAGTCACACCACCCACCCCATGTTGGACTTTGCTGAGTGGTGCTTTTCAGATGAGTTTTGCACCAGCTTAAAATGTCCCAATAAGGCGTGTGCAAAGGGCTGGTTTTGGGGTGCAGCAGCTGGCGGTTAATGAGTCGGCAGATTGGCTGGAGCGGATTGGGCAGGAAGGGCAGGATTGGGCAAGAGTGTGTGTAAGCTTCCTGCCAGATCCCCAAGAGCAAAACTTCAGCCCTCACCACAGAGTCACCTTTAGCTTTTTACAGTTAAAAAAGCTGCAGTTTCAGGGGTGGGAAGGAACAGAGAGAGTGCCACGGGGGAAGGGGAATGAGAAGGTGGGACAGTGCCTTACAGGGAAGGAGAACAGGCATTGGTGGCCCTGAAGATAAAAAGGTTGTGGAAACCTGGAATGCTCTGGGAGGTGGTGTGGGAGTAAGGAAACTGCCCTTCTGGGAATGGAGTGGGATGGTGGGAGAGTGTAGTGGAGGAGGGAGGGGCACAGTGTCTCACAGGCAAAGGTAGTTGCAGAGGCCTGCCTGGCGAGTTAAGTAAGCTTTTCCCATGCTCTCCCCGCTTTTCTCGACTGTTGTATTTTTGCTTACACTTACTTTTCACCTGAAACTCAACATAGGCCAATACAGTATCACACAGTTATGTTACACAGAGTCACAAAGGACATGCCAGTGTGTTAGAAAGAGCCAGGTTACTAATACAATTCTGGAGAGAGAAAACTTAAGAAACTATTAGCTACTTTCCATATTCTGTTGTTGTCTCAGGGACTGTGGCACCTGTGTGAGGTTTTCCTCTTTCTAAAGTTCTTCTCAAGTTTTTTTCAACTTTTTCTTTCATTCTGCCTCCAGAATTAATATTCTTTACTTATATTATTATTTGTGAGACCCCTGTTGTCAGGCTAACAAAACTTTTTAAAGAAATCTTGTTCAAGAGCAGCTTAAGCCTCAAATTTGATTTCACAAAACAACATGATATCAACAGAAAATTGAAGAAATATACTTGAATGTTATTTCTTTATTTACAAACTCTAACTCTGATATTGCATGACAAGCTTGGGTTTAGTTAGTAACTGGCAAATTCAGTGGAGGATTAAAATTTGCTTCCTGCTTCTGTTTCTTTGCCTGGGACTGTGACTGAGACACATTGGAGGGTAAAACTCAGAGCATGCCGAGTACCATTTGCATGAGCTACTGTAGGAAAAAATCTAAAGTAAAAAGCCAGAGGCCTCCAGCTGGTAAGGAAAAGGAGGGTAATGGTGAATTCTACCTCCTAACATCTGCAGCTTTGTGTGGGGTGGGGCAGAAAGAGACCACAGTGCTCTTTATCGAAAGTTGTAACAAAATTAGTTCCCTGCCTTTCATCCTGAAATGAAAGATGATAGCTGAGTAGAATGACTTGAGATAAGCAGAAGCACCCCCTCTTGTTTTTCTGTTGTGCTTTCAAAGACATTCATTAAGGGACTCATTTTCATCCTTTGCCCTTGGGCCAGGGATAATGATTGGTCATTAGGTATTAGCAGTTGCAGCGAGCAACTGAAATGACTTGAAGCTTTCCACAGACTGCTGTTCCATGAAGCATTTTTTATATTTGTAATTTTCTGTTCCTAATTCTTTGTTTGATCTACATCTTATATTTTATTCCTGATTTTTTCAAGGCTTGCAGCCAGTTTCCTGTGGACAGTGTTAACTTGCTCACTCCATTTTTCTCTTCTTTCTTTTTGATTAATACAGTGTTTATATACAATTTCAGCTTGCTTTGAACAAAGAAACCCCAAATGACAACTCCATGCATGCGGTTTGTCTCATGAAGTTTCAGCAACGGTACCTTTATATGCAGAACTGTAATCAGCAAATGCTTTTTCCTCTGACTTCAATTCTACTCTGTCTTGTATTTAGGACATTGTGTGTACCTTGCCAGCCTTGGAAACTCCTTAGCACAAGATCACTCAGCTTTCTACTGCTCCCAGAAATGACTTTGGGCACATTCTTGTAGGATCAAGAGTTAAATGTGATCTCAACACCCGCAATATCTTTGCAGTATGATGGAACCCCTTATAATTTCAGCATTAGTGAGAATTCATTGGTGCTTTGGTGACTATCTTTACTGCATAATGATGTATCTTTTTCATACAGGGAAATGACTGGCTTCAAGTAAAATCCGAGCAAAGACAGGACAGTGTGTTTTGGCTTGTGTCTTATTTACTCCCATGTAGAAGTACAAGTGGGTCCTTCTTAGCCTGCGGTAAAATTACTAGTGACTTGTTTTTGTTAGCATTTCAAACACAAGTCATGTAAAACTGTCAGGATTGCTTGGAAATATTTAAAACTTTTCTACTACTTCAAGGCTCAGAATACTTCTCGGAAGTCATAGCTACCCTTGATAGGATGATGCAAAACTTCTCAGGTCCAGTTCATCTGCAGAATTACAAAACAGTTGATTTTCATTCCAAATTAAACAAAAATTTGAAATTCCAAACACCTCCACAAAATGCAATTATCTTTTTAGACAGTTTGAGGAACATGACTTCTCATTATCTAGGTAAAAAGAATACTTAAACCACATTTGACCCAAGAATGAAGAGTCTTACATCAAGTGCAGGAAGAATTTGTGCAATTAATTTCAGCAATCTCTTTCATATAAGAGCATGCATCCCCTAATGCATTATTTTCCTTAGCATTAATTGTCATCCAAAATTCTGAGTAAGTGCTGGTAACCATACCTGATGGTTGAGTCCGATGTGTGTGGTTGGGATTGCAGAATCCAAGACATGCATTTGTTCAATCTCCATGTGCCTGTACAGCTGCTGTAGCTGAGGAGGTTGCACACTCTGCAGTTCTGTGAAGTGGTTGTCTCCAAAGGTCTCAAACTCACTGTGCATGTGGTGTGGATGGTATTCCCAGTAATGATCTAAAGAAAGTAAAAATAGATTGTCATTACAAGATTAAGAAATTTGGCATTTACCTGGATTTCATTGATTCTTTCTCCTGTTGCTGTTCTTTCTGCTCTCTCCACACCATCCCTGTTGACCTGTCTCCAGTGACAATCTGTATAGATCCCTGAAAAGTTTCTTTTCCTAGTCTCATCAGTTCCTGTGGCTGGAAAGTAATACTTAGGCCACTTTAATTAGGACAATACTCTTAGATGATGAGATGGATTTCAACGATAATCTAGCACAAGATGCAAAAGACGTTAATGTTGGCAACTTTCTCAAGAAAAGACCATAACAAGTTTCAAGACATTTTCATTTGGGGGTTTTTACTTCAACATAAGCCTTTAAATTTTTTAGAATTTCATACTTGCTGCTCAAAATTTAAAATCTTCTAGAAGAAATGTGGAGCACTGTAAATTCTATTTCTCTCTTACAGACAGTAGCTGCATACTTAATTGTGCACACATTTATGTGCAACCTGTTTTTAAAATCAATGTCAGCATCATGTCCTCTGCTCTGACTGAAGTAGAAACTAACCTTCCATAGTTTAACTTTCCTTGCATCATTTATGCCTGGCTGAAATGTCTTTATTGTATTCAGTATAGCAGTTGTAATTTATTCCTTACTATTCCAAGTTTTCTTCTCTTGTATTATTATAAAAAATTTCTGTCCTACCCTTCACATGTTTTCAGGTCATGTACTGTCATGTACCCTTGCAATCCCCTTCTAATTATCACTTAACCCAGTTGCATGCATTTAGGCCTCAGTCTTTCAATACAAATCAGTACATTCACTACTCTAATCTCACTTGTGCACTTCTTCAAGCTCCCTCCCAGCTGCTGACATTCTTCTGATAACAGAACTGAACACAGTGCTCTAAGTGTTGTTGTACTGAATTTATAGAGGAACAATTGTCTCATTCTGGAATATGATGTTATTGTGTATGATATTGTCTGGACACTAATATGCTATGAATATTTTTTCTGAAATACCAGTTTCATTCTTTCTTTCAGCTTCTATCTCCTCATCCTTCCCCACTTATGTTTCAAACAATTAAGTCCAATCTCATTGAGGATTTGAAATGCGGGAGAGTAACTAGAATGTGGCTTCCTTTAGAGGGAACTCAGTGATATGCTTGTATCAAAAATAGTTGTACCTAAAAAGTTGTGCATTCTTTTAGCTGCCTTTATGCTCAGACCAGTAGAAATTTACTTGAAGGCTCTATCAGATAACTTAAGACACCAGGGATTATTTTTTTCCTTCTTGCTTTTCTGATTCATGGATAAATCACCTCACTGCATAAGAAACGGATAGAAAGGTGCTTACAAAAGCATTCAGAGAGCTGCTGCATTACTTGGTAATTTCTTTGTTTTTTTGTGTGGCACTTTCTGTGCGCTGCGTATGAATTTTATAGCCGCACGGTAATTACAGTACATGGTAGCACTTCTTCATGTTGTAGTGCTAGAGAAAAATTTTGGTTTCTCTGGTAAAAAATTGGGTTTTATGGATGCAAAGAACCCAGATATTTTTTACATCCACATCTGCACCAACCCAGGAAATGTCAGTGTGTGAATTTGAATCCATAGACTGTCTAAGGCTGTGTCTTGATAGGAAGCTTTGGGCACTTTCAGTGTGCAATTTTTCCATTTAGTTGGAGGATTGAGCCACACTAACTTGCGTTTTTTCTGTGTTAAATTGCCACAGATTTCTCTAAGTAGAGCCAACCACTGAGGCCCCATATACCATGTTACTCTGCACACTAAAGTGTTGAGAATACATTGCAGGAGTAATCTAAACTCTTCTTCCTTAAAATGATCTGGCTCTGCTCACTGTGCAGAAAGTGCTCTCTCAGATGGCAATGTATATTCCCAAAGACCCCTTGTCATTGATAATCTATAACAGAGAATGAGATCAATGCATAATTGTTAGGATGACAAAGCCCAGGGAAAGGTCTCTGAGGCTGTCAATGGTAGATCTTCAGCTGTGGAATTTCTTACCAGCAGCAACTATAGTGGTCAAGAGAGAACACAGACCATTTCCAACATGCATAGCCATGAGTATCTGTGCATGCTCCAAGTGGCCTACTTTGGATTCTTCTAAAATATTGTTTTATCGTCAGTCGTGTTTCTGTACTGTAAGACACCTCTTAGTTTTTTGAAGCCTATGACAGGGTTACTGCTGCTCCACAACTTTTTAAACTTTTCCCTTGGCAAATAAATTAACCTATTTATGCATACTAAGATTAATCACTATTTACCCTATTCATTACTAAATTTCTTTATGATGGATTTCGGTGCTGCTGTAAAAATACAGTAATATAACAGTACTATTAACACTGCATTTAGGACTTAAAGTGATCACATAATAATATTACATTACAAAATAAATCTGTCAGAAATTAATTCAACATAATTTTGTCCAAATATTCAACTTGTGACAGGAGGAAAGGTCCTTACTTCTTCCTAAATTATTTATAATTTCCCAGTGATGCTTAGGAAAAATAACATTGGTTTAGTAACATTAAAAAAGAAATTCCAGATCTGTCTTCACAAGCCCCTCTGTGGTGAAGTTATTGCACATGAAAATATATAAAAAAAAAATCATCTAAATATCTGTGTCTGCTGATATTCGAGTTATCAGCAACTATTTACTTCTGTGTTTTTTGTTAGTGTCACATCAGTAACACATAGCAACTCTGTTGTTTTCTCTAAAATATGAAGGTGGAAGGAAGAAAAAAGACAGGAGAGAAAAATTAAAGAAATGGAAAGTGTCTATTCTTTGGGTAAAGGAAAATGTCATTAAAAGCCAAGCTATAGCTACACAATGGAGTCATTATGAGACATTTCGTGTGAAGTGAAAGAGGATGTGAAAAAAATTCTCTTTTGTAGAGACATGGAGATCATGTTTGTTTTGGTCTTGCATGTAGTGAAAGGTTAGAGGAAGGACAGTCACAGATTCTGAGCTCCCTCCCATGACAGAGAGGATGTTAACCTGCTGGGAAGCATTAGTGGACCTAAAGGCATTGTGTTAATATTCACTATAGAGGTAGATTCTCACTTCATGAGTGAGAAAACATGACTGAACTTTCTCCATTATCTTCTGATCACTGTAAATTGCTTTGCTCTTGTAATAGCTGAATAATGTTAGAACCAGCAGTTAGACTTTGAAATAAGCTTAAGGAAGGTATTTATAATAAAAGTGGAGCAACAGGCTAAATTGGCATTACGCAGTGCAAAATCATGCAGAAATTCATGAGCCAGCTATTGAACCGGAAATGTAACAGCTCTGTCAGCACAGCGCTCTGCCTTGTCTGAGGAGACAACTGCTGGCATGGCTGTACTTGTGAGGGCTGGGCTAGTGTTTCTGGGTGGTTCTGTCCTGGGTGGTACAGATTTTCCAACACATGATGAACTAGGAGAGGGTTTCTTGCACAGTCCCATATCGCATAGCTTACATGTTCCAACGTCTGAAAAAACAAGTAAAGGAAAAACCCCATGGAGGAAATGAGAAAAATATTGAAGGACACTGGAAAATTAATGTCTTGATTAATGTCTTGAACAGAATCACTCTTGGGAGAAATGCTGTGCTTCTAAGCAGGGCACCAGTCTTATCTATAACAACATTAGGATCTCATTAACTCCCACTTTACAAACTTCATTATTTTAATAATTCCAAATGTTCAAATACCTATGAGTCAGACCCCAACAAATCATGAGAATGGCTTTGAGGGAAGGGGATTTTTTAGCAAAGTTTGGAATTCTTTCTCTCTTTCATATGGCATTTAAGACTAAGATTCTCATGTTTGGACTTTCCTCCACTTCTGCATGAGCCAGGATCCTAACAAAATCAAAGCTGAGATTCTTAAATGATCATATTACTCCAGGAGGTGGGACAAAAATAAAACCCCAGATCACGGGATCGAGTAAGTTCCATGAGGCTAGAAACAAAAGGAACAAGGGTCAGCATTCAGCTTCATACAAAAAGTGATTTTTCCTAAACCAATAACGTTTAGTAGTAACTTAGAGACAAAGCAGCAGTGAAATTTTGTAATTACTAAGATTGCATTGGTGTTACAAAATATGCTGTGTTACATTTACAGACTTACAAGCCCAGGCTTGGGTGATGGACTAATACATGATCACTTGAAGTAGCTTCTGTCCTGCATGACTGTGTCTCTGTTTATTACAGTATTTAAAAAATAGCTAAACTGCAGTATAGAAAATAATTGCACACAATACCTGTGGTGATGAACATATTATGGTGCATTTTTGAATCTACTGTTCACTTACTTGCAAAGATTTCCTACGTAGTATATTAGTGGCACACTGTTTTTGTGCTTTTTATGCCTCTTCATGTAAACACGGAGTAAGGGTTGCCTTCAGCATTGTGTTTGAGAAAAGTGACAGTAATGCAAGTAGCACAGATGGCAATATTAAGATGTTGTCATCTCCCTTTCACAAAACTAATTTGCTAGCAGTGAGAGAGAGGTGGTCTGACGCTTAAGGAAAACTTTCTATTTCTTTAGCAGTCCGTTGTCGGCATAATCAGAAGTATTATTCTGTCTAGTATAATCTATTTACATTAACTGGTAGATTTACATTGAGGTCCATAGTGCTACTGAGTGACCTGCAAAATTATTTTCTATGCATTGCCAGTGATCTCATTGTCCCCCAAATTGAACTCCTCTCTCACAACTCTGTTCTTTTTTCTACTTTCCCCCCCCATCTGATCAGGTTCTGTCTCTTTCACTGCTGTCACTGCAGCACTTTATTTATTCCTTTTCCCTTCCATTTTTCAATCACCGTGCTTTTATCCTCATTGCTCTGAATGCTTAGTACATATTTCTGAAAGTATTTTGTGGCGTCCCTTTCCTGCTCTTCTGCATGGCGCTTCTCAAGATCCACTACTTCTGTCATGTAAACAAAATGAAAGCCAAAGTTCACTTTTTCAGTGTTTATAAGAAAGAAGAAAAATGCGTTAGTTCATGGTTTTCAGTCTTCATCTGTATTCTTTGGTTGGTCATGGCTTTTTTGGACTGTGAGAAATGCAGGACAGCATAGGGCACATTAGATATTTAGACACAACCAACTACAACATGGTTGCTTTCATAAATAAAAATTTGATTGAAATGCTCAGGCTGGGCTCAAGTTGCCTCTTCCATAACCACTTACTGTTGGAGTTTAAAACATTAAACACGGTTTTTTTGGGTCTTTTGGACAAATGCACACAACTTTGGGAACAGACAAATTTCTGTTCAAAGTGGGTGTTTAGGTACTGCTTAGACTATAACCCATATAGGTAACTACTCAGTTTTTGTTGTGTTCATCAGGATGAGTAAAAACATGTTAATGATCTGAGAAATGTACCTTAGGAACAGCCTTCCAACAGAAAAATGGGAAGTAAACCAGATGGGATGATAAAATTATGAAAAATAAAGGGATGTTTCTGCTCGAGGTAGCCTAGATGTAATGACAGAAAAGTTATTTCCCAGAGCTTTTTCCTACAAGGCATCTTTTATATTTATTGTTTAATTGTCACACTTGCCTTTTGAGATAATCAATGTTATCCTCATTTTATGAGTGTGTAAACAGCTACAGGGTACAATGTAAAAACCCTGAATTTCCATGCGGAATTTGCTGGGTTTGATTAGTGTGACTAACAGATGCCATGAGATAACTTGTAAAAACTGAATTAATTCTTTGTCTCCAGGTGTTAAGAATGCCATTGACATTTCTTGAATACAATGTAGAGAACAAATTTAGGTAGGTATCTTTTTCAGCTAAATGCTCAGAACAATCCTCTACTGTAACTCACTGTTCCTTAAAATAGCTTCTGCTGCCACAGGCAAAACAGTGCTATGCTGTGAGTAGTTAATGTGTTAAATTAAACAGAAATGGGTCTAGTTGCTCTATCAGTGGGAGTCTTTCAGGGAAACTCCAGGATTTGCAGGGACTGCGACAAGTAATACAGTAGAACGGTGCTTTTCCTTCCTGAGTCAATATTGACTCAGGTATTTCCAGGGTGGTGTTGCTGGACCATTGTATTTTACAGGAGGCAAAATTCACAAAACAAGACTTCACCTCTACATTAATTTAGAGTCCAGTGCAGTGCCCAGAAAACACCAAAATATAGACACCAAAGCTTTGAAATCACATACACAAATTGAAGTAATAAACAATTATACAGCATTTTTATACTGAGCTGTGTTTACATACAAACAGCTACAAGGAAGTTTTACATAGATTTAGAGAGAGGAAGTACTTGGGTGTACTGGAGGAAGAGTGAAAGTTAAAGCTAGGTGTGGCAGCATGCAAAAGACATAAAAAGAAAGAAAGAAATATATGGAGTAAAAAAGGCCAAATACCAAAGAAATCTAATTAAAATAAAGGTAAAAATAGTTTATCTAGGACCTAAGTCAGATAGGAATTGGAAACGGGAACACAAGAAGAGAAATACAGTATTGCAAATCCATGTCCTCAAAGACTTGTGAAACAAGATGAGTGCTTTTGATCTGCAGAGGAAAGTAAAAATACAGCAAAGACAACAAAGGATAGAGATCATGAGATCCTATCTTCCTGGAAGCTCTTTGCATCATAGAGTGCTTTCTAAAATTCTGTTTCAGAGAAACCCTGTTGCAGTTGCTGGGTTGGAACAGAACCATTAAGTGGAATAAAATAACGTTGGTTTCTGATTTGAAAATAGGTGTCTATACATTATAGATCACTGCAACAAATTTATTCTTTCCTTGGATGTCCTAAATCTGTTTTCCGTGAGCCTTTCTGCTCCAAGGAGATATTTTTTGACTTACCACCATGGCTCTCTCCGTCACTGTTGAGATACTGGTAATAGTCATGGGGCTGTCGGTAGAGGTCTGACTCATAGGGTACCATATCTTCAGAGGGCTGTAAAAAGAAGAGGAATTTTTAGAACCATAAGTTTACACAAATCTCTTCCAAATTATTCACATAGTTAGTGAAGGGGTGATGTCAACCCATTTTATATTGCCTAGGGAAAGAAAGGGGAGATTTCAAGGTATTTTTGAATCAGCGGGAATAAAATGCATGACACCAAACACTGGTTTGAAAACAAAAAAAAGGAAAAAGAGTAATTAAGTCCTTAATATCCCACACCCGGGCCTTCTGAGGATACTGTTTAGAGCCCTTGTGGACATCAGGCACAGCATGGCAGGGAAATATTTTCTTTGGTAGTAGCAAACATTATATTATTTTTTAAATTGTTATTATTATTGTTATAATTGTCATAGTTGTTATTGTTGTCATTATAGTAGTTATTATTATTATTATTTTTATTATTATTGCACACAAAAGAGAACGCTGAAACTTGCCTAAACATATAATTCTGATTATTTCTAGGAGGTCTGACTAAATGGTGGCAGTTTGTATGCAGGTAATAACATTGACAGAGGGCATAAAACTATTTTCTTTCTTGATTTTTGTCCAAAATAAACTCTAAATGTTTGCTGGTTCCAATCAACTACACAGGGCTCTTAGATATGTGCAGAGAAGGCTTAAAAACTCCAAATGTGGGGCAAATACTGAGTTGTGACCTATTGGATGCTTAATTGTAGAGTTAAAGTTCTCTCTATCTCCTTAGAACAGGTGATATACCGTTACTTTCCCACTTCTCTTTCTCCCCAGGCCTAGTATTCCAATATGAATATTGATTAGTATCTTATGTTGTTGCAATAAAGGTAATCTGTTTATTATTAGTTTTGCACAGTTTCATTGCTTCACTTAATATTCCTTCTTGTTTTTTTCCAGAGTGAGGAGTTAGAGAAGGACAATGTACTCCATGGGGTTTTGTTAAACTTCAGTCCAGTTAAGTTTGTTACAATATTTTCTTCCAATCTGAACAAATTCTTGTGGTGTCAACAGCAAAGGAGAACTCAAACACCTTCTTGCTTTTTCTTTTGAAAGGAAATTATTTCTAGTAGGTATTAATAGAAACATTTTAATTCTATTAATGACTTCAGCATAAATAACTTTAAAGGACAAATATTTAAAACAACATGATAACTTACATGATGGACATATTTTTTGTGTTTATATGTTGATATACCTATCTGTATATCTCAAATCCTTTATCTCCCTCCATGAATCTGTCTCATTTTTGGAACATCTGCATTTTGTAAGCTTATGCTATGGTTACAGCATGACAGAAATGCAGGCAAGCTTCTCTTTTCTTCCTTCTCTAGACTACTTGAGAACATGAAACCTAAGGTAGCAGCTGCCATTAAAATCCAGATGGAGGTAGTAGATAAGCTGCTAGCGAAAGGAAAAGACTTTAATTCTTCTGGTTAACTCTTTCAGTGCTTTCTGTTGGAATTTTGGAATTTAAAGATTGTCTTTTTCTGAGGATTAAGATATTAGAACACACACCAAACCCCCCCAAAAAACCCAAAACCAAAACAAGAAAACCAAAACCAAATCAAAAAAACAAACAAACAAAAAACCAAACTTTCAGGATTTACTTTAGACCTTGGTTAATCCTTAGTAGCAGTCATGTGCTGTATTAATGTATAATTAAAATGCACTGGTAAGATTGTCTAAAAGTTCATGGCTTCCAGAAAATACACACTAAGTGGGAATCAGATCCGTGGAATATTCAAAGACTCAGGAGAAAATCCATTGCCTAACTGTCAGCTCCAAATATAGTTGTTGGTGGTGGATAATTGCTTTGGGGCAATCTTGAGAAGATGACAACCCACAATAAAGACAATCTAAAGGAAAGACTAAGGAAAAGGGGCAAACTGTCATTTAATTGTGTTCACAGCAGGAATACCAGTGAAGAGACTCTTCTCATTTCTAGTCTCCAGAGGACGTAGACGCAGTCTCCATTTCCAGATCTATGTGATTCTGATAGAATTGCCCTTCATCTACACAGAGCTTTAATGCTAAGCTGTTTTCCAGATTTCAGAGGGGTAGTCAAAGAAGTCAGTACAATGTGCATTCTCTCTGATGCCTCTGGCTTTTCTCTACGTATTTTCTTGGTGTTCTCTCTATGGTTATATGTATTTACTCATCTCCATTCCTTCGACCTTTGGTGTACTCTGATCTCTGACAAGAAAAAGTAATGAGACTGTAGTTTGCTCTCTTTAGGATAAAGTTCTGAATGGAATTTCTACTTTTCATTATCGTTGCAAATTAGCTCACCCACTCCCCTATTTCCTTTCTATAAATATATACTTCCTGTTAAGTAACACCAACCTGAAAAACATATAAACTTGTACCTTCATATTCAGAATGGTAAATTTGTTATAACTCAAAGGAAAGCATTCATATTGTATGAAAGGGGAGACCTCAACATCCAAATGGATAATGCATATGATATTAGTTGGGAAAAATGGAGGTTAAAAAAGCCGTATAAAGGTATATAGTTTGAAAGAAAAATCTTTGTTTCTTTTCAACTAAAATACTAGAAACTGACAGAAATTATTAAAAAAAAAAAATCATACCTAAATGCATCCAAGTTTGTAACTCCGATAATTATTTAGCCAAAAGTAAACAAATTTCCTAAGGGATCAGTTTCCTTTCTATCTAGGCTTAATTTGTTAAAATTTCCACAGCTACATCAAAGTATCTGTCACTCACATCTTTACAGAAGTATAGCTTGGTGAGAAGGCCAAGCATCAGTCCAAAAGTAGATAACAAATACACATTTTAGACACAGAAAATAATATTTGACTTTTCCCAATTATATTTTTCCTTTGTTGTCTCTTCCTAAAGATTTTCCAACTCCCCCATTTCAGATCAATATACATTAACAGGCAATAATGTCTCACGGTCTGAGCTGAGAATGAACTATTTTGCCATTCAAAAGCTACTTTTACAAGTTCAGATGTGTATTCAATGATTAGAGCTAAAGGAAGGTGTGCTAAATAGACTCTTAAAACAGTGATTCACTTAATATTTACAGATCCAGCTGGCTGCAGAGTGAGTTGCAGATACTCAGCACCTAAGAGTCTGCTTTTATATAGGGCATTGGGGTACTATAAGCTCTGTTTTGAAAGTTTGGGGCTTAAAATGTCTTTAGTATGGATTCTTGGAATTTTTGTCCTTGAATTAGTTTTCTGTGCAGTGATCCATTTGATAAAATATGCATGTGTATATCCTTGTTAAGTCATACAACCTGGACCAATCTGTCCACACAAATGACTTGTAATGACACTATTTTCCATCTTGGTGTCTGATCTACAAAAGTACAGTAACTAACAGGGGAAGAGGTATATTAAATATTTAAAAATTTGTTTATCAAAAACTTAATCAGATAGTGGTAAAAGGAGATAGTGTAGAATGTATTCTCTCTGATCATCCTGTGGGAAGATGGGATTTTTTTCTCCTATTCATTAGAGAAGCTATTTCCAATAATCTGTTTTTAATTGTTTCTGGTTTTTTTTAGTAGGGGGTTGTTGTTATTTTTTTTTTTAAGTTTCATTAAAAACTCTTTCTCTAGTTAGAGAGAAGAGGCTTCTCCATGTACTGTTGTTGCCTCTTTTACCAATCTTTACCCACTTGCCCCATCTTTCTCTGGAAGTCCCCACCCACACACTCATTTCATCATCTTACTGATAGCACTTCCATGACACTGAACTGTTTTGTTTCCCATGACAAAAAGCAAAGAATGGCCTTTGTTACAATGTAATATATAACTGATGACAAACTATCAGTTCTTTTCATGTAAAAGAGTGACAGAAAGCTTTGTTGGGAACTCATAATTGTCACAGACTTTCACAAATGAAGAATGGCCTTCATCTTCCATCTTTGCCTGAAACTCTAGGGAAAAGCCACAAAACTACTCAGAGAAAGCATGGTTGGCATTGGTTAAGAGAGATATATTGAACTTAATAGCAGTCTGAAAATTCTTGTTATTCACCAAGGCTTTGTTAGATGATTCCAGGCAATTGTAAATTCATTAAATGATGATCTTTTTTTTGTTACCTTGATATAACTATTCAGTGGCACATGATTCAGAAATACTTCACACAATTTCCAGTGATGTGCTGCCAAGTTTTAAGGCCAAAATTGACTGTATTTTCTTGGAAACAAATTACACTATAACTATTTTAGAGAAGATGAGTAAAAATATTAGCATGATTACTCATTGGGCCAGCCTCACTGGACCGTGTTGGCAATGCAGTTATGTGGAACAGAGTACTTCTGTGGGGCATTTTTGCTCTCATGCAAAAATACTTAATTCAAAGCTGTGACTACAGCTAAGTAGCCAAAGGTGGCTACTTAGAGATTCATGTATAACTGGGACCCTCTTTAAGTCAATGTATTTGACTTAATAATTTTTTAACTCAAAGCACAACTTAGTTCTTCACGCATTGGAAGACATGGAGCCAGTTTTCAGAACTTCCCAGACAAAATTCCCAATTTTCAGATGAAGATAGAATACTCCTAAACCATTTAAATAATGAACCTAAACCATTTTCCAAGTGAAGGGTAAGAGTTTCCTAGCATAGTCAAGAGGAAGGCAGTTACAGTCCCACCCTCAACTGAACGGGGAGGGGTGGAGGAGGGAAGTATTGCAGCAGAAACCCTTGCCTAGAAACAGGCCTATGTCTCCCCTTTGAAAAAGCCCCAGGAGACACAGACATGCAGGTCTCTAGCTGGCAGTGCCCAAAGCACACTTAAAGCAATTTTGAAAGTACAAACAACAAAATTATTAATTTTTGGACATTTTATTCACAAAAATAAAACTTAAATTGCTGTATCAAGTGCTTCTGTAAGGTGTAGTTGTATTTTTACTGTCTGTTGTATTTTTCATCCAAAAGGAGTTCAGACAGAATATTAATTGCAACACAGGTTAGAATAGGAGTGAAACCGTGTTAGATTTTCAATCCATTTATTTAATATATGCCCTGGAACTAAATACTGAAAAAAAGAGTCCAGAAAAAATGTCTATGAGTGAATGAAAGGACATAAAATTACCTTTTTTTTTTTTTTTTTTTTTTTTTTTTTTTCTTTATGGAGATGTTTATTTCTGGGGTGGTTGAGGACAAGATTTATGTTGCTTTTTTTTTTTTAAGCCCAACAAGCAACACATCTAGAAATCTCTGTGTACTTTTTCATTTTATCAGTTTCTTTTCAGATTTTTATTCTGATGCACTTACAGTAGGTCCATTGGGCAACTCCATGTACTTAAGAGAAATTATTTTTAAAGTCTTCTTGTCCTTTGGGTAGATAGGGGATTTCAGGGGCACTGATGATAAATTAAGAGAATATCAGAGACACTGATGGTAAACTGAGAGAATAAAGGGTCTCCCCCAAAAAGAAAAATATTTTCAGTCAGCATAAATACCGAATATGACAGGAATTCAAAGGACTGTTGTTCTGGATGGAAGATAAGGAAATATGACTTTAGCCTTCATTAAATGGGACAAGACAAATAGAAAACTCGATACAAGTTTTTGTTAAAAAAACTGCATTGTCTCTTTCTGTGCTCTGACACATGTATAGCAATTGCTGTAAGTCATCTACCACATAAAAAGCCAAGTAAACCACCTGATCTGGCACCTCCTCAGCTTCTACAAACCTAATGAAATCTAGTTAGGGCCTCTTTTATCCATTCTACTTAGAGATTTCCCATTAAGGTTTGTTTCTGAAAAGCAGGTTAGTGACATTATGTTCTTCATAAATAATAATTTTTGAACTCACCATAAGATAAACTAGAGCAGTTCAACAATGCTTCAGAGTTAAGAAAAGGATAAAACAGTCTCATAAGCACACAGAAAAATTTATACCTTAGAGAAAACATTGAAACTCCCAGATAAGGACTGAGTGTTTTCTTCCTCTCCTCCGCAAATTACTTTTTCAGGATAAGTGAATTCAAGAGAATTCAGTTCAAGACAAGATGAAGTTAGAAACTAAAATGCCATCATTTCAAAGAGCACAGAGTTCTAAAATCCGCAATACACAAAATAAGCATTCAACAACTCTTCTTTCACAGATTGGTAGACAGTTAAACATATAAACTATGTCAGAGACTCCAGATAATTAATAACTACAATCTGAAGAAAGACTTGGCTTTATATCACATAGGCAACACTGAAGAAAAGAGATTTACTGGCTTGCTATATTTGTGCTGTACAAAAATACCATACATTTAATCTGTGAAAACAAATGGAGATCAAATTCAGATACAAGTTTGAGGAGGAAATGTTAATTTCCCTTTCACTGCCATGTTGTCACTAGTTTTATAGACTGACCTAAGCCAAACTTCCTGACACTACAAATACAGACCAAAACACAGATATTCTCAAATAATAATACCTGGTTTATTTTGCCTTTTTCTACTGAGCCCAATGATCCGTATTAGGAATAAACCCAATATACTCACAGGGGGAATAAGGGGAAATCCTTCCATTTTGCAAGCTTGCAACATTCAGCCAACTTCTGAGTGTATTTTTCTTAATTCAGTTTTCAAACATCCAGCATAACTGACTTGAAAAAAATCACATTAAAAAAAAAAAGGAAAGAAAAAAGAAAAAAAGAAAAAAGTGAGATCCGCTGAGATCCTCGGACTCTGTAAAGTCCCTTTGCAGTGCTGGATCTCAGGATAGGAGAAGGACCCTAACAAGTTTTCATAGTTTGCCCTAATAGGTTCTGAGGTGACCTTCTTTCCAAGTCGTATGTGAAGTTCCTGATTTTATCAAATGTCTGTAGAAGGAAGATAGTCCCTGGGTCTATCAGAGCGCTGTGACATCACACTTTAGCCAGTTTGCATAAATCTCTCTCATTTATGGAGCTGCGGTGCTGCAGCAGGAAGTCTGTGCTCGGCCAGATCTGCCATGGGCAGGTGCTACTGTATAATCAGATACCCAGAGCCCAGGCCTGCTACCAATAAACAAGCATAGGGGTGCAGCTCTCTGTGGAAGACTATGTGCTTCTAGCTGTAGATGAACCATAACAACGGTGCTGTTCTCTGGTTTAATGGTATATCATAAAGACACAGTCCTGACAACTTCTGTGAGGCCAGTGCAGTGGCATAGACTTGCTTTAATAATAGTCCTGTGTTGAAATTACGTGGCAATAGTTAGCAGGTAGGAAAAAAAGAGTATGCAGTTTCGAATATACAGTCTTAGGTTTATACAAAACACTGAAATTATGCTCATGAGACTTTTGTCATAAACTTTGCAAGAGAGTAATTGGTTCAGTGAAAGACACTTTGTCTTCTTATTTGTTTCTTGTGGATTCTTTTCTTTTGTAACTCCTGCAAGGAGAAAGTGAGTAGGGAAAAGGAGAAAGTATTACATGTCCCACACGATGACTTGACTTCTCTCAGGTCCTGAGTGCCTTCAACAGCAAGTAGAGAATGAAATTTATAGACTTCTGTCTAAAGAGTCAGGTACAGAAATTTCTTGCAGAGATATTGTGTTAGCTCTTCTCACATGATGTTCTCCACACTCTTCATCCCACCGTTCTACTTGCATTTGGCTGCTGTGAACAAATGATTTTCATACAGAGGTACTGGCAGTGGCCAGGGGGCAGCATGCAGGGAATGGGACTTGTCTACAAGGGGAGAACACTCTCATTCTGCAATATGCCTTCTTGCTTTGCAGTTAGCTACTAATGTCTTGGAAAAGTGAAGTTTCATTGTCTGGGTTGTTCCCCTTCAATCTATGCCCATGTGCCACAGGTTCTGCTCTTGAAAGCAGCCTGCTCACCACTCACCTGGGTCTATGTGTGAGGGGGAATTTCAGCCACTACAGACTTCCTCCCCTATACAGTGGTAAAACCAGACGGCTCACAAGTTCCTCTCGTTCCCCAGCCTCAGGAACTCAACAAGCAAACCATATTAGCAATGGGATAACATCAAGAACATGATTAACTCTTTAAGCCCCAAACTGAATTTCGTCAGCATGAGGTGATACATAAGCATTTCATTCTTATTTTATTCATATCATGAATTCTTGATTATAACCTAGAATTAACCAAGCTGCTTAACAGTCCAGTTCTCTCTCTGAGATGATTCTCAAGTCTCCCCCTGGATACCAGCCTGGAAGTGAGCAAACCTTCTGGGGAGAAGGGAGAGAAGTAAAGTATAACTTAGATGATAAAACAGTGCAAACAGAGGAGACAGGAGTGAACAATAGCACACACACATCTTACAGTGGGTAATTGAATAATAGGCAATAAAAGCAATTGTGGAAATTGTGTGTCTATTAAAAAGGCTATTCAGAATAAAGAAGATATGCTATCTGATTCATGACACTCTGAAAGATAGCTTAAGCAGCTCCTGAAACATTTAAAAACTTAGTGTTTTACACAGAGAGGCTTCTATTAAAGTGGAATGCAACTATATTTCATAGGCTGGAGGATATTTCTGCACTGTCTCTTAGCACAGGAAATTACCTAATAAGGATATATATTTTGCACCAGCCTCACTGCACTCGGGGAATGCTAGATTGTAACATTATCAACCAGGTTTAAACATACGGTAATCATAAGTACACCAAGATTATCAACATAAATAATGAAATTGATTCTGTGTATGGTGAATTAGAACTAAATAATATGCCATAAAGTTTCAGGACCAGCAGAAAGTCTAGCTGGTGAATAAGCTTCTTAGGAAGGAGAGTATCTCCATAAATGGAAATGCTAAAAGTGAGATAAAATGCTTGTTTAATCTATCATATTTCTATAGGAATATCACTAATAACAATCTTGCTAAAATTCAACACAGATTAGTTTCTCACTATTGCCTATAACTGGTGTCTTATTCTTGTTCGTAATCACAGAATCTTCTCACCCCTAAAGTAAGGCCTACTGGAGACAACACCATTACCCCAGATTCTTGCAGTTACATTATTAGATTACTTATATGCAGAAAACAGATGAAGTTACAAAAAAGTTGTGTAGTAGAGAACTGATTTCCAGAGGCATATGGTGTGAACTACTACTCACAGAATGTATTTTGATATTCAAAAAGGCTTTTGAAGTAAGGTAGGGATGCTTCTCCATGATGGAAATTTGGAGAACTAGAGAAAAACATGCTGAGTTGAAAGATTAAGTTTCTGAAAGATTATTTCTGAAAACATTTAACATACATATTAAAATTTTCCTTCTAAGCATCACCTCACTGTGTGCAGCTTTTTGAAACATTTCTTCCCCTATCTCTAGCCATTTATTCTTCACACTATTTCTAACCACAAACTACCAAAGCAAAAGGGTTTCAACTAGCAGCCACATCACAGAGAGGTCCCGTTACCTCAAACCTTGTTTGGTGCTTAGAAGGTAATTTTTCTCCCTACTAAAACCACAGACATCACTCATTCTGAAGTCTTTTGATCAGAAATAGGTGTTTACACAGATTCTGCTACTAAGTTTTCTTGTAACAGTAAGACAAGACCTCTAAGCAAGGGATTCCCTTGTATGTTCCGTGTTCTTCTCAGAGCTATGTTTTCCATTGAACTTGTTTTTATCTGGACATAATATGGCTTGAGGGTCTTGTATACCATCCTTTAACATTGAATATCCATTGAGACAACATGGATCTCTGAATGTGGAACCTCTGGGGTCTGGAGCTCTAGAGGAAAGCCCTCTGTATATGACTGTTCGTTACATATACTGCTACCGTGTTGAAGACATGAGCTGAAATATCTTTGTTGCATGTATCGATAGAGGGCAGGAGGCAGAAAATGGCTGCTGCAAATTACTGGCTGAAAAGAATTTGTTGCCACTTTTTCTCATGGGGACCTGCACCTCAGCATCCTTAACAATCTGAATATAGACTCCTCTGAAATACATGATCCCATTTCCACTGTGCTAGATTATCACTCACTGATGTTCCCTTGTGATACATTCAGGTTTATTGCCCTGGCAGTATTTGAACAAAGACTTTTTCTCACTATGTGGGTATCCCTTCCCAGAGTTGATGCAATTCCTACTTGCAAAAAAGTGCCTTTGACAGTTCAGCTTTCATAAGTTTCTGAGTTTTATGTAACGGCATCTGTACAAGGACTTTTGCTGGCGGGAAATGTCATAAAATGTCATTAAAATATCAGTCTCAACTAACTTCTCTATATCAACAAAGGTTTTCAAGCACAGACTAGACTAAATCCATATCAGAATGAAGATAATGATTTTCACTGGGAGAAAATCATTCTGCTGGGAGTTTGAATCAGTATTAATTCAGAAAGCTTCATGTATATTCTAAGAATGTATGATATGCAATCACTTACAGAAATGAAAAGCACTTATTTTTCCATTTGATTAGTACCTTTTAAACTCTCCATAAAACAGACTTCAGCAAAGAAGAAAATCTCCCTTTGGCAATTTATGCGGCTTTAAGATCTGTTTCCATCTCAGCTGCATTTTGTTGTTCATTGTATTTGGGAAAACTCGTTTGGGTTTTAAGGCATTTTCAAATAACTGGAAGATTTTATGTCAGTTTGTGATGATCTTCTGCATTCTGCGGGCAACAGATTTTCAATATGCATATTCCTGCTCTTTCATTGTCATCCAATCTCTCAAAACAAAACCTTTGTAACATTTCAAGAAATTAACATGAGAGAGTGCTTTAATACCATCTACTCTTGAAGACTATGCCTAGTGTACATACTACCTACAGTCAGTAGCACCAGTAAGATGCAAACATTATTGTCTAACATCCCTTCAAAGAGAACCTACAGTCCAATAGAGGTTCTGTCTTCCTCCCCCCCGCCTCCCAGTCAGATATTTTAATAGTAAAAGTTAGACTATAAGGGTAAGATGCATCTGTGATATGGTTCAATAAGAGCATATTTGTAGAGAAAAATACTTGTTGTTGATGGAGGAAATACACCCTGTATTTTCTCTGACAAGGTAACGCTTCAGACTGATCCTAGTCTGATGCCATGGACTAAATTCCCATTTGCATCTGCAGACCTGAGTCATATCTTCAGTTTCATCTGAAAAGAATCTAGTTTGTGCATTCTAATACAGCTGTGTGATGTAAAATGTAGTAAGTGAGGAGGATCAGGAGATTAATTTTAGAAGTGGTCTTGTGATCTGAACTAAATTGCTGTTCTACATCCACCATCAGAGAGGATTCGTTTCCGGAGTCTGTAGTGACCTTTGTCAACCTGTGTCAGAAATATCTTTGCTGTATGGAGTTTGGAGATCTTTCTTGAAAGTTCAGTTGTATCTAGGAAGGACTCTTTCTCTCCTAATGTAAATAGTACTTTCCAGACTTGCATCTTATTAGGATTATTTCTCTTAGTAATCTCTCAGAATTCTAAAGAGAAAAACACTAATCACAAATAAACGTGTTCAAGTAGCTGGTGGGCTACATAAACTGTGCTTCTTGCTCTCTGCCACTACTTTCACAAGGGCTTTGTTCCTGGAACGGAATGCATAGACAAAGTAACTAAACTATTAGATGCCAGTGCTCTTCGTACATCCTCACATAGACATTTGGCTGCATAAGGGGTGAAGCATGTATGCAAGCCTTAGGTCACAGCTTTTTGTTTATGGCTGGGACAGGTGTGTATGACACACTCAGTAGTATAGTATCTATACTACTAAGAAAATTTTTCTTACAGAAGTAATTACTAATTAGAAAAATTGTGTTTGAATTACATTTCAGCCTTTTGTAACCTCAGACCATTTTCACACCGTCACATGCAGTTAGATTATTCAGTTTTCGTTTTTGCTTTCTTGTCTGTGGATTTTTTTCAGGTACCTTGAAATCTACAGGGTTTTGTAAAAATCTAAAATCTTTCACTAATCTTGTGAGAGAAAAAATTAACAGTTTAGAGATAACTAGCT